TTTCATGTACAAATGATTGCCCCAGAGCAGGCATGTGGACATTATTTATGGTAGTTGAGAGGTCAGTGAGCAGGTATGAGGCACTTTCACCTCAAATAGTCGGGAAGGATCTCTAAGAAAGGCTAAAATGCAACAGAATGGGCAGGGTCTATCCGACTCTTCGTGTGCCAGCTTTGCAAGCTCATTTGACTACCATCATGAGAAAATCTGAAAAATAAAAGCGCATGCTCTAGCATTTTTTGCCTAAGTAGCCTTTGGAAGAGGTATTAACAAATACTAAAGGAAAAATGAGATAAGGTTGATTTTTTAAAAAATTGTTTTATTTTGAAATAATTGTAGTTCACAGGATTTAAAAGATAATGCAAGAAGGCCCTGTATATCCTCACCCAGCTTCATCCAGTGGTACCGTGTTAACTTTAGCAGTTCAGTAGTAAATTGACTGCTCTGGTTTGTTTTTATTGTCAGCTTGACAAAAGTCACCTGGGAAGAATTCTTAATTGATGGGTTTTCCACATCATATTGGCCTGTGACCATGTGTGTGAGGAACTGTCTTGTTGATTGATGTGAGAGGGCCCCTCTCACTGTGGGCAGTGCCACTCCTGGGCAGGTGGTTCTGGGTTACATAAGAAAAAGCTGACTGAGCATGTCAGAAGAAGTGAGCCAGTAAGCAGCCTTCTTCCATGGTTCCTGCCTCCACTTCTTAAGTGATGGCGGTGACCTAGAAGTGTAAGCCAAATAAATCACTTCCTCCCCAAGTTGCTTTTGGTCATGGTGTTTATCACAGCAACAGAAAGCAAACTAGAATGCTGATGTAGGGGTTCCCATATTTTCACCACTTTTACATGCATGTGTACCTAAAGTTCTATGCAATCTTAGTACAGTATAACTACCCCTGGAATCAAGATTCAGATGTTTTCATCACCACGAGTATTCCCCTTGCACATTTCTTTTTTTCTTTTTTAGTCTTTCTTTTTTTGGGGGGGGGTGTCTTTTTGAGACAAGGTCTCCCTGTAGCCGCAGCTGGCCTGGATTTGCTAATGGAGACCAGGCTGGCCTTGAACTCACAGAGATCCACCTGCCTCTGCCTCCAGAGTGCTGGGATTAAAGGCATGCACCACCACGCCTGCTTCCCTTGTGCATTTCTTAGTAGTCATAGCCATTCGCTGCTGCTCCTAAATCCCTTCCCATCACTTATCTGTTCTCTACATAATTTTGTCATTTTGAGAATGTTATAGAAATGAAATCACACAGTATGTAACCTTTGGAAATTGGCTTTTTCCACTTAGTATAATTTCAGAGGTTTCTATTTTAAGGAATACAAGTTAATAGTTATGATTTTGTATATGTCATGGGATAAAATATTAAAGTACTGACCTTCAGAGATTCACCTAATGCTTGGTATTATTTCTGAACCATATTGGCATCTTTTTATTCCTTTATGCCTTAAGAAGGCCTACCTAAAAACATGACTGGGGTACTGTTGGTTAAATGTTAACTAAGTACTACACAGTGGAATGGCTGGAGGCAAGTGTTCAAAGGTTACAGTTTGTGTAAAGGCAATAGTGTGTGTTGGGGGTGCTCTTATCAGATAAACGAGTTTCAGGGGAATTTCCTAGGCAAATTAGGATGAAAATACAAGGAAAGCAAAATTAGAAATTTAATTATTTAAAGCTGTCTCTCTTTTTAAAGTATATAGTAATTAGGGGGCTAGAGAGATGGCTCAGTGGTTAACAACACTGGCTGTTCTTCCAGAAGACGTGGGTTCGAATCCCAGCACCCACATGGCAGCAAAAAACTGTCCATAACTCCAGTTCCAGGGGATCTGGCAGCCTCTTTTGTCCTCCTTGGGCACTGTACAACACAGGTGTACTTACCTACATGCAGGCAATACACACATACACATAAAAATAATAAAATATTTTTAAGTATATAATAATTAGCAGAGAGAAAATGTTATCCTCTTTGCCACCAAGACAGGATACTGTGTATTAAATGCCTGTGCCAACAGTAATATCTGATCATCCTGGATATCCAGAAACCTGCTGAAAACAGAAGGCCAAATCGCCTCCATGCTATGGAGACTATGGGAATACTTAAAACCCTAAAAATAGGCTTTGAGGAGCTAAACTCTATGTGTCCATTGTTATTGTTTTAAAAAATTCTGTGTATGTATGTATGTGCACATGTGCACGTGAGTACTATGTTCATGTATGTGTGTACACAAGTGCAGGTGACCAATTAGCATCAGGTGTTTCTATAATAGTTTTATTTATTTATTTATTTATTTATTTATTTATTTATTTATTTATTTATTTATTTATTTATTTGAGATAGAGTCTCACCATGTAGCCCTGGCTGGCCTACAACTACTATGTAGACCAGGGTGGCCTCAAACTCAGAGATCTATCTGACTCTGCCTCCTGAATGCTGGGATTAGCATCCAGCTCCACTTTATTTTTAGAGACAAGATGTTTCACTGAACCTAGAGCTCAACAATTTGGCCAGACTCAGGTCATTATCAAGCACTTACAAAAAGAATTAATGTTAATTCTCAAAATATCTTCTAGAAAATACAAGAGAAAGGAATACTTCCCAATTCATTTTTATAATACTAGTGTTGCCATGATACTAAATCACACACTGATTGTAAAAAAACACAAAAAAAAACTACAGATCAATGTATGTCATGAATTTGGAGGAAAATATCCTTAACAAAATATTGGAAGAGTGCTGTAGTATACAAAAATATTTCTATTTCATGATGTAAGTGGCATTTGATCTACATATGCAAGGCTGGCTCACTATTTGAAAATCAATCAACATAATCCACCTACTAGGCTAAAGAACTATCACACGACCATTTTACTTTTTTTTAAATATGTGGGTGTGTGCACGCTCATGAGCGCATGCATATGCAAGCTAGTGCCTGAAGACACCAGAAGAGGGTATGGGATCCCCTGTAGCTGAAGTTACACGTGGTTATGAGCCTCTTGACCTATGCTGGGAACCAAGCTCTGGTTCTCTGTAAGAACAACACTCTTAACCGCTGAGCCACCTCTCCAGCCCCAAATGACCATTTTTATTGTTGGAGGAAAAGCATTTGATAATTACTCAGACCTAATTGTAAAAATGAGAAAATTAAAAAAAAAAAAAAAAGGAACTTTGTCATCTTGATAATATTTACAGAAAAATTTCCATTTCACATTATTTTATTTTAGAGACCGGCTCTTACTATGTAGACCAGGCTGACCCTGAACTCACAGAGATCTGCCTCCCTCTGCCTTCCCAGTGCTGGGGTTAAATTATTATTGTTATTATTATTATTATTATTATTATTATTATTATTTATTGAGGGGGATCTCACCATGTGGCTCAAACTGGCCTGGAATTCACTATGTAGCCCAAGCTGGCCTCAAACCCAGGCAGCAATTACAGGCATGTGCCACCACAAAGGTTATTACTTTGATACTTTCAAATTCCATCTAGCAATGTAAGGTGGCAGTGCTTACAAATACAACTTAATATTTGGATTTAACGTACAGAACCAAATGTACTTGACATTTTGGAAAAAGGAACTGAAGTTACATATAGTACTTTTTGTGGTGTTATTCAGACAGGGTCTCACTATGAAGCCCTGGCTAGCATGGAACTTGCTATATAGAGCAGGCTGGCCTGGAACTCAGAGAGGATTAAAGGCCTATACCACCATGCCCAGTACTTACAGTACTTAAAAAATGATCTCTAGCTGGGCACACGCCTGTAGTCCCAGCACTTGGTAGGCAGAGGCTGGTGGATCTCTGTGAGGTCAAGGCCTACCTGGTCTACATAGTGAGTTCCAGGCCAGCTGGGGCTACAAGGAGACCCTGTCTCAAAAAAAAAAAAAACCATAAAAAAAAAGATGTCTAGGAATCAGAAATGGATTATAAATCTTTTTTAGTAATACCTACTTATTTTAAAGCAGGAAGTTGGAAAGGATAGATGGGCTGAGGTTATTTCCTTTTCAAATGGGTGTGGGCAGCTTCTCTTTCTACTAAGGGTGATTTAAGGACAGGGTTCAAATTTGGATGATCTGTTAAATGAAAAAGCACTCAATCTCAGAAGTAGCCAGGCTATGAAAGAGAAAAACAAAAAGCACGTTGTTACTATATTTTATATACTGTATAGCTATTTAATATCTTACTTTGCTCATACTGGATGGAGGAAAAGGGCTTTGGTGCAAACAAAATGTTTCGTGGCTGAGAAATAGCAGAGTTCACTCTACTCCTGCATTTTCATCTGGAAAAACAGGAATAATCTTTTTCTAGACGTCCCTTTCACCCCCATCTCTCTGCCCCGGGGAAGATGAATGAATAAACTTATAAATACTGGCACTACAATGGCCATACAGTATTTGTGCAATGAAAGTTTCATGTATGTCTAGTACCAGACTGTCGGGTGGAAAAGCACTCAGATTAAAACTATAAAAATTAAGACATACTTCCATCCCGGGCAGTCTCATCCACTCCATTCATCTTCCGAACCACACCTATCCGCCTAGCGCGGGTCTCAGAAGTGGACTTCCAGGGCCTGACGGCGGGCGGGCTGGGGCTCCGGGTCGGGACTTCCTCGGGCTGCTGGGCCGGGTCTCGGATGAACAGAGCCCGCACCTGGCCCCCGGCCGTGCGGCCACCACTTCCGCCTGGGTTCTCAGGTCCTCGCGGGACGCTTTCTACCTTCTCTCGGGAGTCGGGTCACTAAGCTTTCCCGCCAGCAGGGGGAAGTGTTCAGGCCCGGCCCTACCGGTCCGCGAAGCCGGAAGGCCCTCGGGGCCACTGGAGGGCTGGGGGCCGAGCGGGAAGCACAAGGCGCGCGCTCCCGCGAACGTAGGCGCGAGACGGAAGCGCGCACGCGCGCCGAGCGCGGGCGGGGGGCGGGGCGAAGGCGGGAAGAGGGAGCCCTGGAGCGGCTCCGGGGCGGGCGCAAGCGCAGGGGCGGGCCCCGAGGGAGGGCGGTGGCGCCGAGGGGGCGGGGCCAGACAAGGCGGGGACGCGCTCGCGGGCTAGAAAGGCGGGGGCGCGGCGCTGGCGGGAGCGTGCCCGGTCCCCGCCCCTGTTTCCCACTCCGCTTCCACCTCCGACCGGCCGGAGCTTCGGAGCGGCTCAGCTCGCCGGTCTTCGGAGCCGCCGCCCGCTTCCTCCCGCGGCGAGCCCGTCCGTCCCCACACGGTGCGCTCCTCCATCTGGGCCATGGATGGGTAAGTGCTGGGGGGCTGCGCCGGCCGCGCTTCCTCACTCGACGCGTCCCGCCGCGGTCGGCGAGCAGGGCGCGGCGCCGGCTAGCGGAGGAGCGGCTCCGGGCCGGGCCGGACGGCTGGGCTTCCGGACGCCTCTGCGGGGACCCCGGGTTCTCGGGGCGCCGTCCTCCTCAGCCTGAGCTTCCTGCTCGCGGCGTCCCCGTCACGTCCGCACCTTCCCAGCCTCGGAGCAAGCTCACGGAGCCGACACCCGGGGCCGGGGCGCGGAGCCGGCCTCCCGACACTTCCTCTCAGAAAATGGTGCGCGGCGCAGGCGGGGGCGGAGGCTGGGCGGCCGCGGCTTCGGGGCGGCTGGCCTCCCGCTTGTGGACTTGGTGTTTGCCGGCGGGGTGGGGCGTGCGGCGGGGCCGGGGGGCGGACGGCCAGTGCGTGTCGGCACACGTCTGGGCGGCGACCCGGTCCCGAACCACGGCTCGGTGCGGGTCTCGGGACGGGCGAGGTCTCCGGACTTGAGCTGTGACAGACGTTAACCCTGTCTGAGCAGCGAGCAGAGTCCGGACTTAGTCACCAGGGACGCTTCCCCTTCGTCCCCCACCCCCGGGAAACTTCGTGAATTCGCCGAGGGCGATGGCAGATATTGTGTAAGTGCCGTTTTCCGGGAGGTTTCAACTGCTCAGAAATTAAATGGAGTCCGTGACCAAAGTGTATACACACACGCATGCACGCACACGCACATATATGTGCGATGCATATATATATATATGTGTGTGTGTGTGTGCATGTGTACGCACAGATTTACAGTCATCCATACCATGTCAGTATTTCGTTGGGAACTTGGGGATGTGGGGCGGGACCTGAAGCATTTTAATAATTAATTGAAGAATTTTGCTAAATTGAGGGTAAAATTATAATAGCGGTGCACAGCAAGATTTAAAAAAAATCCAGGTCTGGTAGAGATTCCATTTTATTTATTCAACCCTTCCGCGTTTGAGGTTTTCTCCCCCCCCCCGCCCCCCTTTATCTACTTTTGATGACAAGCTTCTGTGAGCTGCGGGGTGTGGAGCTTAACAGAACTTACATGAAAAGTAAAATACAGTTTACAGGTTTGCTTGTAGTTGGTTTGTTGCTTGCTGCGTTTAGGACACTAGAATCTTTCAACAGTTTTTTCCCTCATTAGGTTTCGTTTCTCTTAGTTTCACAATATTAAGGGTGATATATGGATTATCTCATTTGAATGCAGATTGCACACTGCTGCAGATACCGAAGTGTAAATTTTCGATTTTATTTATGGTTGCAATAGTCTTTATTATTTTTATTTAAATTGAAGCTATTTTGTGAAAGGTCTGTAAGCATTGACTTCTTTCCCTCAGATATTTTATATGTGTAAAATCATTTTAATGATTTATGCCATAATGCCATTACTTCACTTTAGGAAAGGCTGTGAAATTGTTTCAGTACTGGATCGTTCTCAGAAGGTTTGACTTGAGATTTGGGTAAACAGATTAGGTTTTTGTGTGGCGAAACTTCTAGTTAAAAGCAAGGACTCAATAATTTAAACTTCTAGTTAAAAGCAAGGACTCAATAATTTAAACTTCTAGTTAAAAGCAAGGACTCAATTTTTGCGTCTTGGCTGACAACCTCTTCCACCACAGTGAAGTGCAAACTTAATAGTTTTCTCCAGGAGAGGGGAGAAGTGTTCAACCTCTTTAAACATCCACGTGCTTCTGATGGAAAACATAAATTGGGTAGGCTTCTAATCATTATTGATCCTTTCTACATTTTAACCACTTAAAAAGTTACCTTATTGGTTAGCATTCGAAATAATAGGTTTCATTAAGACATTTCATCCGTGTGTTTTATTGTACCTTGTACATATTTGCTTCTTCACCCTCCCCTTGCCATCCATCCATCCCTCTTCCCAAACTTACTCTTTTTTGCTTTACTTGTGGTATTAAAGCTAAGGAAAGTAGTGATGGCAGATAGAGATGGTAAGTTTGTTTGAGAGGTCAGATAGGAGCACAGTTTGCATTTTGCACAAGGACCAATGAAGCTAGTATTACATACTTATGCAGCTTATCAGTTATTTATCAGATTTAAATTTCAGAAAACCGAACCACATGTTTCAGAAGTCTCCAAAAGTGATATAGTTATTGTTTAAAGCAATAAAATTCATACTAGTTGGTCTGGAGACATGCATTTGCATACTTTTAGGAAATGATGATGATGATGATGTTACACATTACTATATAGAACTTATTTGTAGCTTTCTTTTAGGAAATGTGGAGATAAACTATTGAGTATAGAGAAGAGATGAGTTTTTGTACAGTGTAACTCTATGGGGACTTTTAGTCTAGTTTTAGGGGGTGTGGCTTTGAATCTAGTGAATTTTGCCCTAGGCAGAGTTTATTAAGTTTCTTCATTTTCCTGCAGCCTGCAAAAAGTCCTTTTCCTTAATATTGAGTAGTTAAAAAAGCAAACAAGAACCACTAGTGAGTTTAGTGAGTGTATCTTCAGTTCTTCCTCAGTTCCCAGTTGTCTTTCACGCATCTGTAGATGTTCACCTCCACTTAGGTGAATGAACACTTTAACAAAGTTCTGATGGAAGGTTATTTAAGGAAATCTTTAAAAAAATTTTGGCAGCTAAAATTTGATGTTTGTAGTTATTTTGGTTCTGGGAGACTGTCATAACAGTATTTTGGTGAGTTGTTTCGGGTGGTAAATGTAGAGTTACAACGTGCTTTTTATGTCTGTAAAATCGAAGCATAGGTTCTGTTTTGTTTAAAGCTTTAGATGTGATCACTCATTCCAGTGACTTAAGAATGAACTTTTTTGGATTTGTTAAGCGAGATAAACACATGCCTATAGTATTGAAACATGACATACTTTTTTACATGCTAAAAGATAGTTTTTTGTTTCTTGCATCAGTATTGAGGCTTTGTTTTTACACTCTGCTGTTGCTAGACTGTTCCATCATTTTTCCTAACATTTCACATTTCACCACATTATTTTCATTATTTGTTATTATAGTGCTTCTTCTTTTTTTCTTTGATCTTATCTGTCTTTTAAAACTTGTTCTCTAACTTTGTTTTCCATTTTCTCTTTTTACTTTTTCCATACAGTGTTGTTACAGATCTTATAGCAGTCGGTTTAAAGGTAGGACTCTTTTACTATCCTTTCATAATCATTTTTATATCTTAATTTTGACATTTTCCCCCAGTGGTGAAAGTATTTCACCTGTTCACAGAATTGTGTGTTGTACTATGTAATAGTAGTCTTCCACATTTAGCTCAAAAAATTAGTAGGCCTGTGGCTAATTTTGGATTTTTGTATACTTTTAAAGAGAAACTATAGTACTATAAAGTAAAAAAAAAAGTAGGGCCAAAATTTTTCATAACTATCAGTGGTTTTTTATTTGGTTTTGTTTTATTTTTGTAACTAAATGTTACTCAGGCTTTCATTTATCTTCCTATTTTGTCTTTTTTAAAATCTTCTCTTTCATGGATGTGCTTATGAGTAAGAAAACAAAAGCTGGTATTTCTTTAGTACCAGCTATGTGCCAGGTATTTTACATGTAATCTCACTAGTCATTATAACACTCCTTCAAGGTAGGTGATTAATGTTCTTATTTTAGAGATGAAATGTGGGTTCAGAAAGTTTTCCCAAGATGTGTTGCACTAGTGTTGAAGTGCTTGTCTTTCTGGTTTCTATACCTGGCCATTTCCCCCTCCCCCCCATTATACCCTGTTGCTATCAATGAAGGTTCCATCTGAAGGTGAACATCCAGAAGCTGGATGATTAAGATTTTGTAATAATAATTTCTCCAAGTTATAAGTCATTTTAGTATTATCAAAGTCTTTTCATTTATTGGATTAAAAATATAAATCAAGTAAACAATGTTCTTCAATATGAAGTTTTAAAAATATAACTGTTCTAAGGTTTCCTTTGGTAGTTTGGTATTTGGCATAGCAGAGTTGGGAATTCAGTTCAGTAGGCCACACAGTTCAGATTACTGTAGAAAGTAGGAAGAAATATTTAACCTTTTTGTGTATTTTAAATACACTCATTTATGTATAGCTGCTTTACCATTGTCCAGTATGTTTTGTCACAGTAAGTGGATAGTCCACCACTGTCTCCCTGTTTCTTTACCTCATTTTGCTAGCAGTTTCTGTGTCTGTTTCTTTGACACTTACTGGATCTGATGATGGTGCTTATATTCTTATGACAGCTTACAAGATAAGCATAAATGCAACCAGCAGCATTTAACACTAAGAATAGGATATGTAGTAATTGGGAACTCCTGCTGTACTTACTGTTTTGGGGTTAAGTGGGGTTGACTTGCTTTGGCAAGCTTTGAACATATTCATGAATAGGAAATAAATGGAGGCATCCTTTTGTAGAATAGTCTTTTTCTTCTTTCCAGTTTCTCATTTGAGAATCATGCTCAGAGATTAGAAATTAAGGCCTCAGCTATTTCTCTGATTACTTTTGATGTCTGTAGGTACCTCTAGGAGAAGGGTTATTTAACTGAATTCTGTTTTGATCCTAAAAGATGTAATTTGTGATTCTGGAATTTTATCTGACATATAAATACATGAAACATTTTTAAAAATTACCATTTAGGAATTAAAGAATTATACTTGAAAGACTCGTACCTGTTTTATGGTTAAAAATACAGCCATAATAAATGAAAGCAAATTTGAATGTTAGGCATAGAAACCATATATGAATACAAGGGTGGTTTTCTGACCATATGTTTTTCAGTAAGCACTTGAAAACAACTATTCTGAAGAGATAAACTGATTAGTTAATTCTGTAGACAATCTATATTTTTATATATTGAAATTCTGGAAATATGCTATAAAATTTCATAATATATACTTCCTGACAAAGTTGGTCTTTTTTGGATCTCTACCAAGGAAGTTAAGTTACCAAATAATGAGCCAATAAAGCTTGCATTTCATCTCCATAATATCAAAGATAAGCTAAGGATTTGCTACCTC